CAGAGTCTTTGATGTTCCTTGATTCATGGGCCGATTTTTCCTCCTGTCTCACCGATATACTTCTGCTCACAGTTGCCGCATTTGATGCGATTAACTCCCGAGAAATCAAGATTGTCAGTCTTCCCATGTTGCATCGGCAGACTTGTGAAAAGTGTTTTCTTCTCCTTTGTTATCACCTTGATATTCCATTTTCTTAGTAACGGTCGCAATCTTCGACTCAGTTCACAGGAGGGCAGGCATATCGAATTTGGATCATCCCCCTGATTCCTGAGCGTATATTTATAAAATTCGAGTTACAATCTGCTCTTTATAACCTCTACATTTATTTCTATAAATTTTTTGAGGTACCCGCTGCTAAGGCAAATCCGAGTCAGTTTGTAAAACTCCTCGTCCCAGAACTCAATGTCCGTTAGTCGTAAGCTTCTGATGATTAAACTCCCCAGTATTAGGGTCTTCAGTCTGTAGTTATGATGAGACTGAAAATTAAGGATTATTCCCGCATATAAATTATTTCCGTATAGTTTCCTCATGAGTGTCTCGTTGGAGCAAATGACTCCAATATCCAGAAAGGGTAGTCGTTCATCCTCCTCCACGTCCATTGTGAATTTACTTCTTTCATCAACTTGGTTAATGAAATTAAGGAACTCCTTTTTTCGCTACAATATCTACAGTGCGGCCTTCTCACCTGAGATGTTTGTGTACATGAATTGTACATCGAAGCTTACCAACAGTTTCGTCCTCACCAGAAAAATGTTTAGGATCCTTTGATAAAATTCATATGAATTGATAGATGGATGATGAAATCTTTAATAAAAATGACGCAAGACAACCGACAGCCTACGGAATACCGAAGATACACAAAGAAGGAAATTTGCTAAGACTAATAGTCAACAACAAGCATGGAGCAACACACAAAATAGAGAACTTCATTTGCTTGAAGCTCAAGAAAGTAGATTACAGATTTTCGAATACCGTAAAGAATTCCTATGATTTCCTCAAAGGATCCAAAAGATTGGGCTGTGGGGACGAAACTGTTGGTATGTTTTGATGTACAATCCATGTACACAAGCATCTTAGGTAAGAAGTCGGTAAGCGCCTTGCTGGAGATATTGGAGCGAGAAAAGGACATCCTGGAGGCAGAACGGATACGGAATGAATCGTTAACACAACTGATCAACATGATAGTAAGGACCACCTATTTTACATTTAATAGCATTATCTACGAGATAGAGTGTCATGGGTCGAGTGAAATACTTGAACCAGGGAGATAGTAGACGGATCCTACAGGTAAAAAGGAAGACTCTGATAGGACCTATGGGGGGCGACTGCGGAACAATATGGCAGACTCTGATCAACATTTCCAGCACAACGTTGAAGGGGAGTGATGGGCTGAGAAAACAAGCGTGGGGTGTGGAGAGTTCTCATGAAATCCACTCAAAAGGGCACACCATACCACAATTAAATAAGCACTTAAGTAAATGTGATAGTAAAGAGGCGATACGAAGAGATATGATTGGTGATTAGCCCAGGTAGGAAAGAGAGATACCACGATTGTTTAGCAGACAATTGGTAAAAGGATCGGCTGCACTTGTATCTTTGACGAGATGCAGTGTGGTGCTAAGAATAGCAATGCTCACTGAAGATGCCCACTATGAGGCCGGTAGAACGTCTGCAAATGTACGACGTCCATGGTCCGACTCTGGAAATAATCGTGTATACTATGGACTCAAGACTATGTGCCTTCCTCTAGGTTTTCCTACCAAGTTGCGAAAAGAAGCTCAAACAACTTCTATACAATACCTTTACTCCGAGCACAGTGAACAGAGGTGCATAGCAAGTTAGACCGAATAAAACAAACCATATTCCTTAAAAATAAGCTAAATTTTTAAATATAAGTTATTTGACCTTGTTTTCGCAACTCGGTCATATTGGTAGGAAGACTTAGAGGAACGCACCTAGTACTGAGTCCATTGTATGCATCATTATTTCCAGAGTAGGGCCGTGGACGTGGTACATTCCCAATCTACAGCTGGTCAAGAGGAATCCGCCGTCGTCTTCTGGTGGAACCGACCTTCTAATCACTTCACCCAACACTTCCACTCGAAATGGAAGTAAGCTCAATACTTATTGTGTGCCCTTAATATTAGTTTTACGATGTTTATTTGATTATGAGCTGTTAGCAATTGCCCCATCCACGTATTGAAAGGTAGTTGCGTCCAGTATTCAATTTAATACACCTAAAGATTGCAAAAACACATTAGATCACTGCTTCATATTTTCAGGCGTAAAAACTGTTCTGGTGTTGAATTTAATTTGTAGAAACTCTGCTTATATATACGAAAAAGCTGGCTTAAGCGGCTTTCATTTCCTGAATCGAACATAAGACAAATTTCTCTTTGAAATAACTATTCGGCCAAGGCGATTGAAATGACTCCGAACACCGAGCTAACGCAATGACTAAGTCGTATAAAAAAATAAGAGAGGCATCGTAATATAAAACAAGAAATAAGTGAGATGGAATGAGACAAAGAGGAGAAAATTACCAAGGGATAAAGATAAAAAGCCGAAAAATTGTAACCTGAGAATCAAAACGATTAACTTACAGATAAATAGCTTAGTAATTGTGATCAGACTAAGAATATTTAGATCTATAAACTGCAAACGCTATGCGAGTAAGCTGTAGGTAAACATGGACGAAAATAGCAAAATATCGAGAAGCATGGGCTTTAACGTTTATCAATCAAGCTTTACCAATGGCCTCCGTGGACTTGCCATAATAGTTTGTGGCCTAACTCTTTTTCACTAAACCGAAAATGCTGGCTGGGCATTGCCGGACCTAAATGCCCTTTAGAACACAATCCACTCATAAAGGCCTCACACCCTAACTCATGTTTTTCGAATGATGAGCAACCAAATATTCACCAGTCAAACCTGAGCCAACCAGTGAACCTATCGGATTCCGACTCGTTATGCAAGACCGAGTCGATACGGATACTAATCAGATGAACTTCACATTCCGCAAAATGGTGAGCTGGAAGAAACTCCAATAGTACCGCCTCCTAGAGACGATCGTTTCTGCAGGCACATCGCTCTCGCTCCCTACGCAAGGAGCACATTACATTTATTTTAAAGCAGTATTTTACCTTGACGCTTGGCCCTTTTTGCAGCCTAGTAGATATCTGCCTACACAAATTGCCTGATAAGTTCTTCACCTCGCTTCGTCTCCGCGAATAGCTTCTACTTACACTCCTCCTCCACACCTAGGACATGAGGCCTAGCTAAATAGACTGCGCCTCCGAGGCCAGGACTGCGTTCATCAAGCCTAGACATAAAATCATTCTGCCAATGGTTGAGTCTTTAAGTCCGCATCTCCAGGCCTATCGTCTAGGAAACAGCAATAAAGAATTTGCTTGGACCGAACTCACATGAAAGCCGCGTCTTAGCGACGTGCCTGTACACAGCATCTTATCTATGCATTATGACAACATTAAACAGCACACCTTACTGATTGCTCCGACGTCCCGTCTCATCCTTTACCACGTACCCACCAAATAGCATCTCTACTTACGAACGCCTCTACCTTCAAACTACGCAACTCTGTACATCTGATCATATAAAGTCTTTACACTATATCCTTCACTCTGCTTGATTGGCTAACGATCTAACTTCATGTGTGATATGTTACGACAGGAACTAACACATACTTTAAATAAATTTAAATTTAGCTGCATTCTATCGAATAGGAGAAGAAAGATAGAATGGCACGAAATACTTTGTAAATTAAAAAACACAAGACAAAAAAGTCATGATAGTATAAATCCGGGTTATGCATAAGAGTATAGGAATGAATCATAAGTGTAGAAATTATCGGTCCATGAATAGACTAAAATGCATGATATATTAAGAGTCTGTAGAATGAGGACGGGATGAATACTTTTTGGCATAGATAGTAGTAAATATGTATAGGTACTCTAATGGATGCGTACTAAAAAAGCAAAAATGTTATCTTATAATTAAATGGGTTGTCATTTCTTTTTGACGCTAATCTGGAGCATC